TCGTACGAATCAGTGCCCATCGTGGCTTAAGCACGAAACTCAAGCCAATCATGATTTAACTTACTTATAACTCAAATTTTACTTCCGGCGCATAAGAAATGTCGTCGTAACTACATATTGCAAATGTAAATTAGTAATCAACGATTCAATATATGAGTATAAAATACAAGGCACTTATCAATTAGTAAATTTCTTTCGTCTCGATTTTCTAACAAATTTGTTTTATAAAATCATCTCCTGTAATATTATTATCTTCGATTGTAATATTATCGTTATGTCAAACACATTACAAATTGGGATGTCATTTACTAAAATGGAAAGTGTCCGTTCAGCCCTAGACGATTATTCTATTGAATTTACTGCGCCTTATCAGTTCAAGACTAACAAACCCAACAAGCTGCTCGTCGTTTGTCCCACGAACGAGACTAGTGCATGCTCTTTTACCATTTCAGCCAATAGACGTAAAGACGGTTATATTTATATTGTAAAGCTAGTCCATCACGATTCAACTTGTCCAACCTTTATGGAGACGTTCAAAGCACGTGGATCACTTCTTGAACGATTTACTGTGCCATTGGCTGAAGATATAGCAGCGCTTCGTCCTCGTGACATTGTGAATCGTGTACGCTCTGAAGTAGGTGCTGAAGCATCATATATGGCAGCTTGGAGAAGCCGAGCTGCCAACAAAAGACGTAGGGCAGCAAAAGTAGATGAGAACTATCAACGTATTAAACCATTACTTGATAATTTGCTTTTAGCTAACCCCGGAAGCATTATAGCATTTGAAATTAATGCTAATAATCGATTCGAACGTGCGTTTTTATGCTTATGGTCATGGATTAAAGCTGCTGAACATTGTATACATGTGTTCACTCTTGATGCTTGCCACTCAAAGTCGAATTATAAAGGTGTATACTTAAGTGCAAGTGTAGTTGACGGCGAGGGCAAATTAGTTCCTATAGCTTTTGCTGTATGCTCAGTTGAAAATTCTAATAATTGGATGTGGTTTTGTGAGCACTTGTGTATAGCTCTTTCAAGAATGAACTCAAACGAAACTGTAATTATAAGCGACCGCGAAAAGGTATATTTCTTCTTTTTAATATAATCTTCTTAAATTACATTAAAAAATAAAAAATAAAATAAAATATAGGGCATTTCGGATGCCATATACTCGAAACTTCCTAACGCTTTCCATGCACATTGTGTATGGCATATCGAGAAAAACATTAACACAAAATTCAAGACAAAGCTTGGAGGCAAAATCTGGGCAGCGGCAAAGGCATTACATATAAAAGACTTCGATGATATTATGGAAGAAATCTTTAATATGCATACGGAAGCCGCGACCTATCTTAATGAAATACCTCACGCAACATGGACTCTTAGTAAATGTCCCCGAAACAGATTCGGCCACCTTACTTCTAATGCATCAGAATCTCTTAATTCATGGTTATATGATGAGCGTCTTGTAGAACCATTTGACGCGATTATTTTGTTTGTGCGTAAGGTTAATACACTTTATTACGATCGTCGCACAGCATACTCTTCAGTGCAGACAATATTACCACAAATGACTACTCAGAGACTTCAGTCAGTCATTAATGGATGCCGTAGCCGAATGGTTTATCAAATTAATGAATCAATTTTTGAGGTAAAAAGTGATAATGGTAATTTCCGCGTTGTAGATCTTACCCTATTAACCTGCACCTGCCAAGAATTTCAGCAGTATCGGTTTCCTTGTATACATGCTTGTGCAGCTATTCTTAAGGCGTGTCGGCAACCATCAGAATTCACTGATATCACATACCACACTATTACTCTTCAAAATGTCTACAAAGAATCATCCCGACCTATTGATGCTGAAACTTGTTTTCCTGATGGAGAAACTTTACCACCAGCCGCTATAAAGCAAGCAGGACGGCCACGAAAAACCCGTTTACGTAGCCGTGGAGAAACAGCACCGGAAGACCAAATTACTTGTGGAAAATGTGGCGAAAAAGGCCATAATCTACGAACCTGTAATCGAAGACGCCGGCAGAAAGAAAATTAATTCAAGTATTCTGATTGGAACTACAACAAGTTATTTATTATGCTTAACAGAAAATTGCATTCATATAAATGCTGCCTTTATGCTACGCATCTAAAAGTACACTGAAATGTTTCGTTTTTTAAAATGAATTTATTCCCTTTATCCTTTTAAAAAAAAAAAATTCAAAAAAAAAAAAAACAAATAAATAACATAAATGCTTATTATGAATAAAAATCGGTAGCCATATATTATTTCTTTAACCACAATTTCATGTAGTTATGAAGTGAGGCGAGTGATCGTGGCAATATAATGGCGCAACAATCCCGTGATTACATTTGGACCTGTACTTGTAATATTTTCAAAAATTAGGCCCTTATAAATAAATATTTTTAAGTTA